TATTAACCAAATTTAGATAGCTATTTCTTCACGGTAGTTCGTACCGTGACAGTATGTAACTAAGTCGTCTTCGATTTCGTAGTTACAATTATTCTTATAAGGACTTGTTACAGTGTTAAATACTGTATTACAGTAGAAATATCTATGTTAGGATAATTCTGTTAGACTATCCTTATTTAGTTAACTTCTAATTTGGAGATACTGTGTTTTAATATAGCATTGACTTTTTATCACAGTGACACTTATACACATTCTGAAATTAATAGTTATAATAGGGAATGCAAATCATCTGCTTACAGTTCGAATCATTGTGATTGTAATTTACTTATGGTCGACTGTAAATTATCATGGAAATGTTCCGTGATAGGACATATCGTAATCTGACTATTCTGTATTAGTCATTACATGTCTATGTTGGTAAATACTGTTGTCTGCATTAAGGGAGCAGTAGCTAAAATTAATATCTAATTCAGTAAATGATTCTAATGTTAATTGTATTAACTATGACTCATGAACTATTGAGGAGTAGTATATAAATGCAGTATATCGCGAAATAAAGAAGAATTCTCCAACTTAGTGTTTAACGTAAAATACGAGGCGTTTAAGTCTTTGTGTAGTCTGCTAGTAGAGCAAAAGTGTTTGTGATAGTGGAGATATCGTTCCTTGATACGTGGTTCAAGGAATTGACTTATTGATCGTACATTACGTTATCTTGTTGCAAAGCTGTTTTGTGACAGGACTATAATTCGTTACGCATGACAGTTACTTACATCTTTTTGATTATAGACTTCAGTAATAAATAAGGATTAGAAATGAAACAAAACTAAAGATGGCCCCGTTCTCCGAATATTAATTGGAATGAACTTATATTTTTAAGTTTCTTATAATAGTCTTCTCTATCACTAGCACTTCTTTCATTATAATATTTATTAATAAATCTAGATAGGAATAAAAATGAAAAGCACCATATCTTCATATAGCACGGAAGTAATCAGAGTGAAATTACATTGAAAATCTTAATTAAATCAATTTATCTTTGAAAAACTTTTATAGGCTACTCTATCATTTGTTGTAAGACTGGTATGAATTTGCATGGAAAATTTCGCTAGTAGAACAGCTGATTATGCGGTCTTAAAATTTGTATATTAACTTGTAACAGTTATGAAAGTAAGTACGATATGGATATAGCTTACCATGACTTTTTGTTTGAGGTTAATAGAAATATAAAGCGCTTTTTAAAAAGATTTTTATTGTTAGCAATAAAGTAAATCTAAACGATATTATGACGGAATAGAAATAAATCTCAATTAGGTCATTGAAATGAAGGAACTTTATAGGGCTCACAACAGAGGTAAACTTATGTATGAAATTGATTTTTAGTTCATGTATCAGTATATGATAACTCAATTGTAACGACATCAGTGTTAATAAAGATATGCTGATATTATAGTAAATGTGTTTACAACTACTGATAAAGTATATACGCATAAGTTGGGTAATCATCAATAAAATGTGTGAGAGTGACATTACATACTTATTGTCTTACGCACTAGTGCATGTATACTTCGTAAAGATTCTAGTTACAGTACAGTTGCATAGGGAAGAAGTAGTGCTGACTGAAATAAAATATACTATAAGTAACTTATTTTTTTGTGTCATACAGGTACTTGTGGCATTGCAATTTAAATTTGAATTATTTCATATGCTTTTCTCGGTATTCGGATTTTAAGACGAACTGAGAGCTGAAAAACTTCATAACAACGCTTACAATACTATTACTAATTGATATTACCACAGGACATGCGACAAATTTATTACATAAATTATTAATATACATGCGTAGTGAGAAATGAAAGAAGTAGTCTTCCCTATATTAAAGAATTTAAAATTTAACTAATCCTCTTATGCTTTGAACTTTCAAAACGTATCTATTTGTGACAGTTTTAAATACTGTATTAGAGTAGAAATATCTATGTTAGGATAATCCTGTTAGCCTATCCTTATTTAGTTAACTTCTAATTTGGATATACTTTTTTTTAATATAGCACTGACTTTTTACAACAGTGACACTTATACACATACTGAATATATACTAGTCACGTACTAAAAGCTACAGAGGACTCTATTTTTTGTCCTTTACTACATGACTTTTTATGACAGTGACACATATACACATACTGAAATTAATAGTTATAATAGGGAATGCAAATCATCTACTTACAGTCCGAATGATTGTGATTGTAACTTACTCATGGTAGATTGTAAATTATCGTGGAAATGTTCCGTGATAGGACATATCGTAATCTGATTATTATGTATTAGTCATCAGATGTCTTTGTTCGTAAATACTGTTGTCTGCAATAAGGGAGCAGTAGCTAAAATTATTATATAATTCAGTAAATGATTGTAATGTTAATTGTATTAACTATAACTCATGAACTATTAAGGAATAGTATATAAATGCAATATATCGTGTAATAAAGAGGATTCTCAAACTTAGTGATTAACGTAAAATACGAGGCGTCTAAGTCTTTGTGTAGTCTGCTAGTAGAGCAAAAGTGTTTGTGATAGTGGAGATATCGTTCCTTGATACGTGGTTCAATGAATTGACCGTACATTACGTTATCTTGTTGCAAAGCTGTTTTATGGCACTCTTAAATTGTTTTAAAGCGAACACTCAAGTTACTAACAATTTTGAAATAAATGAAAGCATTTAAGGTCCTTTAGCATCATTAAAATTTGAATAATAATGATTTTCTAATAATTAAAACTTATGTAATGCTCTTTATGATCTCTATTCTGTAACTCGCGATCAGCTTATTGCTAACTTTTCTAAATTATAGAAAGTCTTTTAATTTAATTTACTATAAAATCCCTTATCTATCGATTAATTTTAAGAACATTCCAACTGCGTCCAATCTTGAAGTGTTTTTATTATTCATTTTATAATCATTTCAGGTATACAGTATCACATGTGTGTATACCTATTTTAATATTGCGGTTACATCTGGAGAATTCACAAAAGTGTTACTCATGCAGTAAAATTTTAGGATTAGATCATTTTAACTAAAATCTGAAAAACATACCGTTTCCATTAAAAACAATTTAAAAACAACCGAGGAATGATAGCTCCGCCATCGTTTTTTGTGATAATCTGAAAAAATTAATTCCTTTAAGATTATGATTATACAAACGACTGTACTCCAAATATTGGCGAAAGAGGCATTGATAGATACTCGTATAATGTCGTTTTATACAGAAACAATTGGAAGATGTTTCGTCTTAGAGTAATGAAGATTAATTTTTAGAATTCTCATTCAATATCTATTATTGTAATTATTCTAGCTTAGTTTTTGTATCACAATAAGTATTCCAGCTTTAAAAATATGACTTATTTGGTTGATTATAACAGTAATTTTACTTGATTTCTTGGTATATTTTCAACCCGGCTGCTTTTTTCAGGTTAGAATTTAAGATAATCATCCGCATAATTCTTGTAAAGAATCAGATATAGTGAGCTGTAATTCAAATGATGTATTTAGTTAATAGAATGTATATGTGCTAATTTTTATCATTAAATAATTACAGTAGGAGTTAATGTTACTTTGTAGTTTAATACAGAATGAACCTTGGCGTTTCATCTGGGTGGTAATGTAAGATTGTTGTTTTGTTTTATTGTATACTGTAAAAATATGCAATTTCGGTCTAAAGTGTTCTTATATTAATTTAGTAGTTTCCAAGTATCTAGGGCATAATTTATCTTATGATGTATGTTTGATTGCTATTTTAATTTAGAGTACTTCAGAATGATAGTTGGATAGTCTAATAATATGTAGTAAAGGACTAAAAGTAGAGTTCTTAATAGCTTTTAGTACGTAACTAGTACTATTTTACTATAGAAAATACCTAGAAAGTGATAGTGTCTTTAAATTTTACCCTGCCAAATCATCATGTCGCCATCTTTTCTTCTTCATTATTTTACAAGGTATTATATAGATTACTATAGAAGTAGCCCGAGAGCAATTGCCTAATCTA